AAATGATAGAAATAAAAAATGAACAACTTCCAGAAAATGAAAAAGTTGTTATTGACAAGAAACAAGTTCTTGATAAAACTTTTAATTATTTAATTATGAAAAGAAAAAGAATTGAAATAAATAAAGTGTTGCATGAGGTTGCTTCACGTTATATGAAAGAATATAAAGATCAACTAGTAATTGTCCAATGGATTGCTAGAGATCAAAAGATTGGTAATATCTCTTTCCATTTGTCCATTTATAACAAAACATTATACAAACAAAACAATGACTGTGAACCATTGAGAGTATATGATGGAATGATTTCAAATGGAAATGAAATTCATTTCCAAGGAAGAGATTTAACTTATTTGGTAAGTTCTGAAATTGGATTTATCATTCTCAGATTATTAAAACAAAAGTGTTAAACATTAATACAAGTAATAACATTGTTATAGCATTATTTTAATTCAACAAAAATATTTTCTTCTTCTTTTTTATTATTCATATTCAACATCTTATTTTTTGAGTCAATTCTAAGTTTTCTTTAATAATTAATTATAACAACACTCTTTTCTTTATTTTTATTGTCATTGGTTCAATGAAAAGCATAAATGAGAGAATAAAAAGTGATGATGAACTAAATAGAAACCAAATAAAAATAAATATTTTATGAATTGAACTTGAAACCATTTCTTAACTTGTTTCATCTCTATTTAATTTAAGACAATGTTTATTTGATAATTTCTACTAAAGAGGTTGTGTATTAATGTTTATTTTAAAATCTATTCTTTGATGTTAACCAAAGTGTTTTGTAAAGAGAATTTATTCCTTTTAAGTTTTAATTCTATTTATTAAATACCAAGAACATCCAACACAATAGAATAAAAATACTTTAATATAACATTAGAATTTAATATGAAATGGATTAAATAATGGTAGTATCAATAAACATTCATAGCACTACACTAAACTCCAATTCTATTATTGTTTGTAATCTTCTTATTGTTTGTATAAACATAATATTGATTTTTTTCAATAAATGTTAATCTCTGCTTTGATTAAATTTCTATTTACTTTCATTGCATATTTTTATTAATTCAATATATATATTTTTATCTTAACATAATCTTTATCATTAACATAATCTTTCTTGTATTGTTAGTTTGATATAATATATAAAATACTGGTTATTAACTATAAACTACCCCTAATTTATAAAGGTACCATAAGCAATATTTTAGTGTTTGGTTTTTATTCCAGTTTTTATATCCGAATAACTAAAAAACGATTTTTGTTAATTCAAGCTATTTACTTTTATGTTCTATATACCTTTTGAATAGAACTCATATTTTATTGAATTTGTTCTTGTTTAATGATTCACTGTGGATGATTTTTATTAAGGTTATTTAATTTTTCTTTTTCCTAAAACTTTTTTGAAATACTTCTATTGTCTTTTCTAGTTTACTTATCTTATTAGATATTTTATTGTGCTAGGAACATTATTCCTCCATTTGTTGTAGTTTTTGTTGCCAGATATTATTCTGCAACAAAACAAGTCAATTTTAAACAAATAAAACAGAACATTAAAAAAACATTCTATTATTATAACTAATTTTAAACAAATTCTATGCAATTTATATATATAATTTCAATCTGCTATTTAATATTTTCAGTTTAAAGAAAAAAAAGAATAAAATCAATAAAAATCAATTCATTTTTGTTCATCTACTGGTAATGGACATTTTTGAACATTCCATACATTTGAAGCATATTCTTCAATAGATCTATCAGATGAGAATTTACCCATACGAGCAACACATCTAATACATTTGGTGGTCCATTCTTGTGGGTTTTTCCAAACTGAATCAATATGTTCTTGGACTTTGACATATCCATCAAAGTCTCTGCAGACCAAATAATAATCACTTCCTCCACGGAATTGGTCAATAACAAATTTGTGAATTGAGGCATCACCAAACATTCCATTGTCAATAGCAGCTAATACTTCTGCAAGGTCTTTACTAATTGGAATTGGGTTAGCACGAATTCCTGCTACTTCATATGCCTTAGCTCCAAACATAAACATATTTTCTTCTCCAACTTCTTCTGCAATTTCAACATTAGCACCATCCCATGTACCAACAATAAGTCCTCCATTCATAACAAACTTCATACAAGAAGTTCCAGATGCCTCATATCCAGCAGTTGAGATTTGTTCATTAATATCGTTTGCTGGAATAATAACTTCTGCCAATGAAACACTGTAATTTGGAATGAAAACAACCTTTAATAAATTTCCTACTTCTGGGTCATTGTTTACAGTATCAGCAACAGAGTTAATTAACTTAATAATTCCTTTAGCCATGTCATATCCAATGGCAGCTTTTCCTGCAAAGATTTTTACTCTTGGGACAAGTTTCATTCTTTGCATTGGTGTCATCTTTTTGATTTGAAGATATGTATGAATAGTACCAAAGAGATTTAACAATTGTCTCTTATATTCATGAATTCTCTTGACCATAACATCAAACAATGCATTTCTGTCTAATACAACTTTAGAATCTGTCAATCTAAAAACAAGTCTCTTTAATCTGTCTTTGTTAAGTTGTTTAACATGAATGAACTTTTCAATCAACTCATGGTTAAATACATTCTCAAGACCTTTGACAAGTGATAAATTAGATACCCATTCATCAGTTTTAATTGCTTCAGTAATCACTTGACTTAAAGCTGGATTACATTGTTTAATCCATCTTCTTGGTGTAACTCCATTAGTGACATTAATAAATTTATGAGGCCATAAAACATAGAAATGATTAAAGAGTGAGTCTTTAAGAATTTGTGAATGAATAGCAGCAACTCCATTGACGGTATGGGAACAAATAATGGCAAGATTTGCCATTCTTAATCTTTTTGGTGTACTTTCTTCAACAAGTGATAATTTACTTAATTGTTCTCCAGAAACATGTGGGAATTGTTTCTTAACTGAATCAAGGAAGTGTTGATTAATTTGGTATGCAAGTTGAAGATGTCTTGGTAACAATTGTCCAAACAAATCAACTGGCCATGTTTCAAGTGCCTCTGGTAAAACTGTATGATTGGTGTATGAGAATGTTTTGTTAGTAATGTCAAATGCTTCTTCAAAATCAACTCCTTCAATATCAATTAATACTCTCATTAATTCAAGTGCCCCAACAACTGGATGAGTATCATTTAATTGAATAGAGTTATAGTCTGGGAATTCTTCAATGGGTTTATTCATCTTCTTAAATCTTCTCACTACATCAAGAATAGTAGCACTAGAGAAGAAGTATTCTTGTTTTAAACGGAGTTCTTGACCTTTAATATGGTTATTCTTTGGATAAAGAACTTTACAAATATTTTCTTGTTTTTGTTGATTGTCAAGTGCATTCCAATAAATTTGGCTATTTTCATCTCCATTAAATCCTTCTAAATCAAATTCATTAACTGGTTGTGAACTCCACAATCTCAAATTCAAAGTGTTGAGTGTCTTATATCCAGGGATTGGCATATCAAATGCAACTGCATTAACAGATGAACTATTTTCCCATCTATATTTTAATTTACCTTTAACGTCTTTAACAGTAACAACATGACCACCAAATTTAATTTCATACTTAACATCTTGTCTAACAATCTCCCATGGATTACCTGCTTCAAGCCAATACTCTGGCATTTCTACTTGATACCCTCCAACAATTCCTTGTTTAAACATACCATATTGATATCTAATACCATATCCCCATGCTGGATAATTTAATGTAGCAAGAGAATCAAGGAAACATGCTGCAAGTCTTCCAAGTCCTCCAGATCCAAGAGCAGCATCTTCTTCATATTCATATAATTCTTCAATAGAAGATCCAAAGAATTTAAGTGCATCAGTGTATGGTGCTTCAAGGTCCAAATTACAAATAGAATTCATTAAAGAACGTCCAATAAGATATTCAATGGACATATAATAAACTCGTTTAGTTTGAACATCAGTAAAATATGATTGAGTATCATTCCAAAATTCTAACATACGGTCTCTTAATGAATAAGCAGCAGCTTGATAAATAGCATATGGTCTAAAATCAAGTCTATTACATGCTAATGTATATTCTAAATGGTTTGCAATTTGTCTTTTAATAGTTTCGACATCTTTAGACAAATACATAGAACAATAATCCCATAATTTTTTAAATTTATCATCTTCAAAATTAATAGGAATTCCATCTGCAGTGGTTCTTCCTGCTTTAAGTTTATTCATAGAAACTGATCGTCTAATTTGTGTGGTCATCACTTTCCTTGTTTTTTTTACTAGTTTTCTTTTTAAGTTCTTATTTTAGGGCAAATGCTTTATTTATAGTTAATCTTCTATTAGCTGATTTTCTTCATTCAAACCATAACTATATTTGAAAGTTCTCTTCGTTTTTTGCTTGTTCTTCTTATTTTCTTAATAACAAAATTATCTATGTTCGTGTTTTAGGGTTATAAAGATGAAATGAACATATACAAAACAAAAATCAATCAATTTTTCTTCTTATGCAATGGTTTCATTGGTTCAATATTCATTCCTTTTCTTATAATAACTTCTGGTTGTGTTAATTTATTGTGTGTTAATAATGATGTCCATTCTTTACCAATTGCAGTATTAAGATATTTTTTATATTGAGTAACATTAGCAAATTCTTTTGGAACTCTCTCTAAAGTATACTTAGAAAATTTGTTATCAAATCTTTGATTGAAAACAATTGTATTTTTACGTTTATGTGGTTTTTTTTCTTCTTTGTTTTTCTTTGTTTTCTTTTGAATACCTTCTCCAACCCAATTACCCCATCCAGGAATTGATTTTTGATCTTCTTCTTCTTTTTGTTTTTTATTTTCTTCATCAATTTCTTCTATTTCATTCATTACATCATCTTCTGCAAATGCAAGTCTTAAAATTTCTTTTTGGTCTTCTTTGAATACACCTTCTTCTTCTTTACCATCTTCTTGTTTCTGAATTTCTAAGACTTGATTTTTATTTTCATTTCCTTTAAGTTCAACAACTTCCATTTTTGTTCTTTCTTTATTTTCTTCTTCTTCTTTCATGTGTTCTTCTTTTTTATTATTACTTTCATCATTAATATCAATACCTATTTCTATTTTATTTTCTTTCTTTTCATTTACTTTCTTTTCATTTACTTTCTTCTCTTCTTGTTTTTCATCCTCTTTCTCTTCATTTTCTTTCTCTTCATCTTCTTCACTCATTTCTTCATTATCTTGTGCTTCTTTTTGTAATTCTTTTAACATTGCATCTAATCCTTTTTCTTCTTTTTTTTTCTTGTTAGTTTCTTCTTGTTCAATATTAATACTAGCAATTTGATCTTCTTTTGTTTGTATTTTAATGTCATCATCTTCCATATTAATATTTCCTGCTGTTTGATTAGTAGGTATAACATCGTTATTTTCAACTAGAATACCATCTTTTTCTATGTCTTCTTCCATTTGTTTATCTGCAAGAATATCTTTCATTTCTTCAATTTCTTTAGCTCTTGCTCTTTTCATAAATTTCATTGACATAATAGCATTGTTATCTAATGAAGGATCAGTTAATTGTTTAATTCTTTCTTGTGCCTTCTTCTTTTCAATTTCAATTTCTTGTTCATTTATTTCTTCTTCTTCGTCTTCACTAACAACTTCTCCAAGCATTTGTCTAATATCTTTATCTAATTGAGGACCATTAAAGAATTGTTTTTCATCAAAAATATCTTCTTTTTGAATTTTTTCTGATAATTCTTTTCCAATTTTATCTTTCTCATTTATGGCTTGACGAACTTCATTAATCTTCATTAATCCTTTTTGTTTCATTTGTCTTGCCCAATTTGAATTTTTATGTCTTTGAGTAATTCGTTCTTGAAGTCGTTGAAATTCTTTTTTCCTTTCAAATTCAACTGCTAATTCAGGGTCTTCTTCAATCATAAGTTCCATTTGTTTCTTTTTTTCTTTATCTTTTTCATGTTTTAAGATTCTATGATATTTCTTTGATTTAATTTTGTTTTGTCTTCTTGCTTTAATCTCTTCATAAAACATAAGTCCTCTTAATTTTGCAAGTTCTTGAACTCTTTGTTTTTGTTCTTCAATACTCATCTTTTTAGAAACAAGTTTTTCATTTTCTTTAACTTCTTTTTCAATATTTAATGATTCAACAACTGAGTCTATTTGGTCTTTTAATGAACTTTTAACTGCAATCTCTTCTATTGGTGTAGCTTCTTCATGTTTGTATTGTGGAAAAACAACTGTATCTGCAACTTTATTTCTACGAATAATACTTGAATATCGATTCATTTCTTGTGTTAATTGTTTCTTCCCAACTTCTTGTTCAATCTCTTGTTTCTCAAAATCTTCTAATGCTTTTCCTATTTTTTTAATTTTACTTTCTTTTCCATAAACTGGATTTAAATCTTTTTGTGCTTTACTTTGGATATGTCCATCTTCTAATGCTGACAACAAGTCATTCAGTTGAGGAGCATCACCATCCATTCTTTTCTTTTGATCAGAATTGTAATATCTTAAAAAAGGGTTTTTAATTTAAAAAAAAAAGGTTTTGTTTTTGAAAAACATTTTTATTAAGAATTAGACTAAACAAATTATTAGATTGTAATATAATTCTTTATTTTCATTCTGAACAAATTGAATAAAGATATTCATTGTCTTTCTCATCTAATATTAATGTCATTAACTCTCTTGGAAAATCTGGTGTAAGTATTTTTTGACCAAAATCATATGATACATCTTTTGCAATATCAATTGGCATTTTCTTTTCTTTATTTGTAATGTTAAGAGATGCACAATGTTTTATTAATATTAAAACAATTCTATCATTCTTTAATTTTGAAGCAATATGTAGTGGAGTATTTCCTTGTTCATCTTGAGTATTAACATTACATCCATTTAAAAGTAATAATGATACAATATCTTCTTTATTACATCTAGTAGCAAGAATCAAATAGTAATCTTTAATGGCTTGATTTCCATAAATAGCAATATATTCTTCAACTCCTTGAATATTTCCTTTATTTATTTCATTTTCAATATTTAATTGACATTCTTTCTTAATAAATTTTTTTTCAATATATTTTTCATGAATAATATTATATCTCTCTGATCCATTTGCATTTTCATGAATAAGATATCCATGAACATTTGTTTGATAAATAGAATTAATGAAATTATTTCCTAAATTTTTTACAATGTTTATAGAATCTCCTTCAATTTTATCCATTAATAATGATTTTACTCTTGATATTCTTACTCCAAGACTTCTATGTGCTCCACAACATTCTAAACAAATAACAATTCCTAAATTTAATGATATCCATTCTGGTTCTAATTTTCCACATTCTGCACATCGATTATTACCAGGTATTTTCCAAATCATATTAGTAATATTAATTGGATTAATACTTTCATTAATATCATTTTTATCAGTGTAATATTCAATATCTTTTTTAACTTTATCAAACATTTTAATCCATCTTTCCATTTCATTAAAACAACTTGTATAATAAATATCTTGTTGACTTGGTGTAATTAATTCAAATGAATGATTATCATTTTGTGGTTTAGCTAATGAAGTAAGAATATCAGTAACAATACTCTCTCCTTTTTTTTCATTAAATAATATTAAATTCTTTCCTTTTATATAATAGTATTGTTTTGTTCCTAATCCTAATTTCCCTTTACTTACTAATATTCCACCTTTCTTGTTTTTAGGAAGTTGAATAACTTCTTTTGTTGCTTCATGTAATATAATTTTCTTAGATGGTATTGATTTAGTATTATTTTTATTACATTCTGAAATACATTCATTGATTATTTCACTGAATTGAATTCCATTACATTGAATAATTTGACCAAAATTCCATATCGTTGCATTCATTTCTTCACAAAATCGTATAGTAGCATTTTCTATTCCTTTTTCTAAACTTGTAGCTTGTTCATTTAAACTATTTTTCGATTTAATTAATTTATTAAACTCAGAATCATATACTTTTCTCTCTTTATTATACTCTTTTTCATTTATCTCAAATTTACTTAATTGTTTATTAATCATTAAATCCATTTGTATTTTCCAATCAATCACTTTCATAAGAAATTGACGTTGTATTTCAACAGACTTTCTTGTTGAATCAAGAAATGAACTATATTCTTCACTTTCATTTGTCATATCTCTAAACGAATCAAAAGTATCAATAACTTCTTGTAAATATGATAAATATTCACTTCCTCGTGAAACAACTTTATTTATTGTTTCAGACATTGTTTTCTCTGTTTTAAATGCATTATGAATTATGTCTTGAGTTGTTTTTATTTTTGTTTGAAATAGTGGGTGGTGAATATCGTCTATCTCTTTAGTGTTAAACCTCACAAAATCTGACATATAACTTTTGATAGTTTATATTTCATTCTTTTATTTTTTTTTGTTTCAAAATAAAAAATATTCTTCAAACCTAATATTTCCCCTTTAATCCAATGAAGTATGAACTGTTCTTCTGATTGGTTGTATCTCCTCATTCTTTAAAACCTTAACATAAACGTTTAGAAGTTTAATGGCTTTTTATCAATTTTAAATAATGACTATTTCTTGAGAGAATTATTAGGAGGTTCTTTATTGAATTAATTACTTTAAGTTAAAAAAAACAAGGCTTGATTTGTTGAAAATAATAGAATAAAACAACAATTAGTGATTGATAAATGAGAAATGAAAACACATTCAATTTATTATATTTTGTAATTAATAACATAATTAATTAAATAACAAAAAAAAATAGGGTTAATAGAATTTTCAGTTAAAAGCAATTTCTTCAGATTTTTACCAGTATAAAGAAATTATGAAAAAATTCATCACCAAATAATGACAATTGACAAAGAAAAAAGGAGAAAAGAAACATAAAAAAGAAGATGGATCCAACGAACAGTGTATTACAAGGAAGTGGAATTGAGTTAAGAAAACGATTCTATCAAGAAACACAACCATCAAGTGAATTGTTCCCACAAAAAAGAGGGTTTTTTGATAATTTATATCAAATGATTTTCCATCCAATAGAATATTTCTCTCCAAAAGAAACAAAACTTGGAGAAGTGAAGATCCAAGTATTTGAGCAAGAACAAGGTAATGTTGATATCAAAATTTCTATTGAAGAAAATAAACACAAAACACCAATACACTCTATTCATTTAAATACTTCAAGTGATTACCAACAAGAAATCAATGAAATTAATGAACAATTAAGAGCTATTGTTGAAAACCATTTTAAGATTGGAGAACAATTTATTGAATTTGAACAACCAACTCAATCTTCGCATCGAAGAAAATCAATTGTTTATAAAGAAAAAAACATTATTCCTAATAAAGTAATAAGTTCTTCACAAGAACACAATTAAAGTATTTTTATAATGCTTAAATAAAGTATTTTTATTTATTTTAATAGTTTTAGATATTCCATTGAATTATTGGTACTAATTCATTTAAACCAACAACAACGACAATAAAGAGAATTTTCAATGATACTTAATTAACAACATCAGTTGATTAAGTTATTGAAGTTATGACTTACATAAATCAAAATTTAATTAACTACTAATGTATATACTCTTTCTTTTATGTTTATATTTGATTTATTATTAAAAACAGCATAGAAAAATGATTTATTTCTTTTTTTATAAACAGATTTGAAATTAAATCATCTTTTGATTATCAATGTTAAAGTTTCTAAACATCTTTTTTATTTACTAATTGTAACATACATAGTTATGTTCAGTAGAACTTAAACATGAACAAAAATAAACTTATATAACAATAGACATAAGTATTACTTAATTAAATATTTTATTGAAATTGTTAATAAAGAAACAAAACGGTGATTAACATCAACAATTTTAATGAAACTAATAAGAATTTTCATAATAATAGGAAATGGATGTTTTAACTAAATTTAATCATAAAAATATTCATGGAAAAGAAACAAGTTGTAATTTGTAAATTGAAAGACCAAAACAAGAAATACAAACAATGCCTAAATTCAATTAAAATAATAATTTTTCATGTTAAATCATTATTACTTGTTAGTTATTTTTTGATCTATGAAATTATAAGAAAGTGTGTTAGTTCATTGAATTTCATTATGGGTTAAATAGAAAGTTAAAATATTCTGTTAGATGTAATAATAACAATGGTGTTTTTTTAAATTGAACAAGAATACAACTTCTTTAAAATGAACAAAAATTTGAATAAAATCAAAGAATAAAAATTAAAATAGATAATATAGAAATCAGAGAAGACATGGATGGTTTGTTTATTCGTTAGAAGGTTTTTGTTCTGGAGTACCAGTGGGTTGAACGTTTTCATTCTCTTCAGGACTCTTTTCATCAGAGTCTTCTTCTTTATCAAGTTCTGAAGATTCAGAGACATTTCCATCTTCTATTTCAATTTGATGAACTAAATTAGTATCAACATCGACGTCTTCAATTGGATTAGATTCTTGATGTTCATTACCTAACTCGATTTCGTCACTTTCTTTTTGTTTATCAAATCGTTCCAGAATGATGGTTATGGCTTGTGTAATAATACATAACACAATTCCAACACATTGTAATATCAATCCAAACCATAATGCCCATTTTCTATCATCTGTTTGTGTTGCAATCAAACCAGCAAACAAAGGACAAAGACAACATGTTAATTCACCAACACATTCACTCATACCGAGAATAACACCTTTAATTTTAGGACCAGCATTGATTGAATATAAAACATTTGATTGTAAATCGTATCCAGAAATGATTCCAATTGGAATTGCTAAAACACATAACACCCATCCATTTCGTAGATAAATTAATGCAAGACAAATTGCCCCAATAAATATTTGAACAATAATATTAAGAATTTGTTTATATTGCCAATAAGAGAATTGTCCTAATACCCAAAAACAGAATGATTGTGAAAAATAAACAATACCAAGGAATAATGAACAATATGTTCCAGGATCATCATTAAGACCATTTAATACAATATTATTTTCATCAGCAAAATCAATATATTGATTTCCAAATACAGCAACTGTTCCATGTACAGTAAAATGAATAACTAATTCATTTAAATAATATAAGAAATGTATAACTAATAACCAAAAATTTATAACTTAAGAAAAAGAATTATGTACTATATGAAATAACTTCGAAAAGTATATTTAGTTTAGAGGTTGTTTTACTAATAAAATATGATTCAATGAATTAGTAAGAGTCAATTAGTTTTTGCTTCTAAAGCACATTTAAGATTTTCAAGTTTCATTACACATTGTTTAGTGTTTTGAATTTCTTGAGATATTTTAAATTTCTAAATAAAATAAGTTCAGTTCTTTCATTTTAGTTCTAATATAAATTATTTTAACAAACTTCATTTTCAACAGTTTCATAGTTTCTATCAATCTCTCTTACGGACTTTTTATTTTCTTTTTTTTGAAGCTCTTTTTCTAATTTTTCTTTTTTGAGCTAATCAATAAATAAAATATATCCAAATAAATAAGAATTTTAATGAACAAACTTTTTCTATTTCTTTCTCTAATTCACTTTCATCTTCTTTCAATTGAATAAAAGAAGGAGATAATGCGTTATCATTTAATTTATTTATTTGTTCGTTTAAATATTTAATTTGTTCTTTGTATTCTCTCATTTTATCATTTAACATTTGTAATTCATTTTGGTCTGTATCAGTTTGGTACTGTATTTTTGCATTAAGAAATTTTAATTCAATATCGTAATCAGTTATTATTCTTACACATTCATTTTTCTTCATTTTTATATCATTTTCACTTTTACTTATTTCTTCTTTCAATTTATTTAGTTTATTTGTTTCTTCTTGTTTACTTTTCTCTGGTTTTGTTGTTCTTTTCATGGACAGTTTTATTTTTTGGTATTTTGAAGTTCAATTTTTTCAAATAAACTTGTAAAATTTTGTCTAACACATCTTTTTATTTCAATTTAAAAAGATAACGCAATGTGTCAAAGTTAAAAGAGTTGAGAATCATTAAGTTTATTAAGATAATTAGACATCAATATAAAATAATTTATGAACGTTGTTATTTCCTTTCTTTATTATTTTTATAATAAAATAAATTAATGAGAAAAGTATTTTGAATTCAAAAGTTATCCTTCACGGGCAAACATTTGGGAAACAAAGAATGAACCATTTTCATCATATTGCTCTTTTGTACAATATCTTTCAACAATAGAAGATAACGCACCTGTGCAAGCAGCTCCATACCATGCAAGTACTTCACTATTATCAAATAAATTAACTTTTACTTGTGCATTATTTCCTTGATCTTTAAGAATCTTTGAAATATCGTTTTTAATTCTTGTTCCCATTCCCTTTAATTTAGAGGCAGCTCCAATCAAATTAATTGTTCCAAATAAATCACTTCTACAATCAATTGGGCATTTCATAATACAATCAACAATCATTTTTGCAATACCTTGCATTTCATTCTTTTTATCAATTGACATTGGAACAATTAATGGTTCAATAACATCACAACAATTGATGGAAATAACTTTACCATCAGGAAGAGTATATTCTTTGATGGTATCCTCAACTCCATCAAGCCTAGCAACTGAGTAATTTTCCTTAATAGTATTCAATAACTCTCTATCCTTGTCAATGTTAAGGGTATACCCTTGTTGAGCTAAAATAGTAGCTAAATGAGTAGAACAATCTAATCCACCAAAACATTGTTTATCACTTGCATTAAAAATGTAAGTACCATTATAGAATGGGAAAATACTAACAAAACTTTCTCCGAAATCTACAGTTAATCCAGTTTCAAGGTCAAGTGGAATTAAGGCACAATTTCCGGTTAGTTCAAAGTAAAGCCCTGGGGTTTCAAATTTCTCAAAGAAAAGTTCGCCATATTCCTGTTTTCTTAAATTTGGACATAAAGCCTCTTCGGTAACAATAATTGGTCTTGTTGAAGCATCAACACCCATATTTTCATCAAACACAAATCGCAAAATTCCTTCAATATCATCATAGTCAGAGACCATTCCCCTATTAATAGGATAATGGTAATCCTTAATGTTATTATTAAAAACACTCTCTCCATAAATCTTTCCAGTTTCATGTTCTCCAATAACGTTTCTGATAATACAAGATGGTGCTTCATCTTCTGCAGTTCCAGCTTTAATACTGTAAGAACCAATATCAAGAACAATAGGAACTTCTTCTACCATAAAAGAATTATTAATTAAATTAATTAGTTCGGTTAAAAACCATATTTTAACGATTGTGTTGGCTTTTCGTGGCTGATTTATTTCCACTAATTATTTTAATATATATTTTATTTTTATTACTATAATGAATAACCAAAAATAATATAATTTATTAATATAAATAATATGTAATTATTTATGAGATGAATATTAAACACTTTTCATTGTGACATTGAACTAGAAGGTGCAGGTGGTGCGATAGTTCGAGGAATAGAGGGTTGAAGAGAAGGTTGTAAAGGGGGTTGTATTGTTGTAGGAGGTAATCTAGATGGAATAGAAAGATTTATTTCATCATTTAAATTAATTTCAGTAACAATATTCATTGGGAGCGGTAAAGCAGATACTACTGGAATAGTAAGACTTTGTTGAGGAGAAGGAGTGTTAAGGTCATTAGTAATAATTCTTGAAGGTAAAGCAGCAAGAGCTTTTTCTTCGTTTGCTTCTTTTTCTAAGTCTTTTTTTTTATTTTCTTTTGCCAAAGCACTATATTTTTCTCGTTCTTTCTCACTGAGATTTTTCCACATCACTGATAACCTTTTCATTACAGCACTTCCACTAATACCATCATTAACAACACTGTCTCTTTTAACTTTACAAAACAAAAGATAAGGATGCCAATCTTCTTTTCTTCTTGAGGTATCTGCCTTACGTTTCTTTTTCATTACAGCCGCATTTCCAATTAATACAGATTCAATATATGCTAATTGTTCATAAACAACTTTAACTTCATGACCTGCTTTTTTCCATCTTTTATCAACTTTTTTTTCTGCTTCTTCTTCAGACAAACCAGAAGCCAAAAGACTTCTTTTAACAAACATAGTATAAATTTCTTTACTTAATGTTGCAATTTCTTCTTTTTTTCTTCTTTTTAATTCACGTGCCCCTTCCTTTTTTGGCTTCTTTTCAGATTTTTTCTTTTCTTTTTTATCACGAGAATGTCGTTCTTCTGAGTAAGAAGAAGAAGCTGATGAACTAGAAGAAGATGACTCACTACTTGAGCTACTTGAAGATGTACTTCTTCCCATATTTATATATAATTTAGCTTATTCAGTTCTCTTCATTTAGATAAAAAAAGCCTAAGATAGAGTTGTACATATATTCTGAGTAATTAGTTTTTCTTTTATATAACAATACTTTTTATTGTTATATAGAATTTTTTAGGGTTTATTTTAAGATAATTATTTTTAGATTTTACGATTAAATATGAACCAATGAATAACGAAAAATAGTAATTTGTTTTATTTACAAAAAAATTTTTTTAAGATAATTTGAATCTCAAATTATTAATGGTTGTTATCACTCTTGTTTGTTCTGTTATTGCTTTCATTGACTTCATTTGTTCTGTGGGTATTATAATTGTTGGATGTTCTACTAATTTATTTAATCAACAACTTGAAGATAACAAACCAGGAACAATACTTTTGTGTTGTTATACGATTGTGTATAGTTTATTAATTTCATTTGGTTCTATCAAAATTATGGACCATTTATTTAAAATGGTTTTAACAGTCATTGTGTTATTAGGATATTTAAACATTATCCCAGTTGTTTTTTCAATTTTACAATTATTTTCATTAAATGTTTGTTATTCTTTTAATTTATTTACAAAAGCATTAACGTTCAATAGTCGTTTGATACCTGGATTGTAGTAATTATTATTATACTAACATTAATTATTGATATTCTCTTCTTACTTCATTCCTTATTTTCTATTTATTTCACAGGATATTTCTTTGTTTGCTACATATTATTTTTGAATAAGACATATTCCAAACCACCAAATAACATATCAACGGATGATATTAGTTTTACTCAATTAACAGAAGACATGTCAAGTAATGGGATAATGTATTTTTCTTATGCGCCAGGTTCTACAAATCATTTTAGAAGAAGAGTATTAGAGAATGACATTCAACAATTGAAAAATAAGCATATCACTACAGTAGTATGTTGTTTAACAGACCATGACCTAACCCGATTAAATATGAATGGTTATCAACAAGTATTAGAGTCTCATGGAATTACTTATCTTCATTGTCCAATGATTGATTATTGGATTCCTGATAATAGAGCATTGTACGATTCTATGATAAGTAGAGTTAAAACAGTACTAGAAAATGGTGAGGTTGTATTAGTTCATTGTAATAGTGGGAAAGGAAGGACTGGACTATTTGCAGCAGGGGTACTTTCAAAGATTTTACCAGGAGAATCAAGTTCGTATTATATTAAACAAATTAGACTATGTCTTCCAGGTGCTTTTGATACATTTTTGCAACGACTTTATTTCTATATGTATATCAATAAAATATATTAATTAGAATAGCTAAATTAGTATAAACATTTTAATTTTTTTATAATGGGTTATTCACTCTAATTATCTTTTATTCTTTTATTATTGTTTTTAGAGACATTAATCTATGATTTAAAGTTAAGAGTACTGAATTTTTAATAATGCTGTCATTATTCATTTGTTATTAATGTTAGTTATTTTATTGTTTTTATTTTTATCACATAATTCTTAACTGACTATTTAAAATAAATTTACTTTAAGTTATAAGTTATTCATTTCTTAGTTGATTAAAGTCTTTGATAATAAAGAGTTTTCTTTCATAAGAGTGACAATTAGTTATCTATTATCAATTTATATAACTTATTTATTATTGATACATCAAAAATAGAGAAAACCCACAAAAACTAAAAACTCAAAAAAAAAGTAAATGGAATCAATGGGAAACATTATTAGTTGGGATGAAGATGAGTCAAGAGATATCAGTAGCTACAACGAAGATAATTACATAGTACAAGGTAATAAAATAGAAGGGTTAATTGAAGAAGGTGATGAAAATAAGTATGAAATGACATATCGAGAACATTTAATGAAGATACCTGACGTTTTATTTAAACATTATATTAAATATCATCCTATGAGACTTAATGAAAAAGAAAGGATATTATTAGAAGTACTCGAATCTGCTTTAGATGTAAGTGAATATACTGATAATGTTGATATAGCACGATCTGATTATGGGATGTATTATTTTGGGAGTTACAGTTATTATTCACAAAGAGATGTTAGTATTAATAAAAGAACTAAACAACAAATTATTAAAGAACAACATCAAGAATTAAAACAAATTATTATTGGGTTATTAATGGGAAATAGTTATAGAGATTGTATTAAGTTGTTACATAACCCAACATTATTGGAAGAATGTATTCAAAATTGTTTTGAAGTTGGAAGACGATTTAAAATCAGTAATCCACATTTGATGAGAACGACATATCAAAAAATGATGCATATTCTTCAAGACGCTATTTTATATAATCCAAGTTTTATTGGTCCCGAGTTTGAACAAACAAAAAAGTTTAAAGAAATACTTACTGTTGGTTTATTTGCTAAAGAAAATCAGTTAGAAGATGTGTTTAATGAACCAAATTTTAGAGTTGCTGTATTACCTGCTGTAGGAAGTGGTACTGAAAGAGAAAATGCTAGAAAAGAAATTATTAAAAAATATGGAGGTGAAACTGAAAGAATGTTATTAAGTATTTCAGATGGATTTGCGTCTGCTGCGTCTATGTGTGGTGTTGTTCATCAAATGTTACATGATCTTAAAAAAGGATATCAAGAATCAACAAAATTAACTGATTTAACAATTAAGTGGGGAGTTAGAGGAAGTAGAATAAGCCATAGTCATTCAGAACAGTTTATCTTCGTTAGTCAAAGTTTAACACTATGGTGGAATGTTATGCAAAATATGCCACTATTATGGAACACTACTGATAAAGAGTTTCTTAGTGGAAGTAATTATTCATTAGTAAATACTGGCCAAGGTCTTCAAAGAATGCAATCAGCACCTAATGTATCTGGAGTTATGCATCAAATTCTAGCAAATACAAAACAAAAATTATGTAATGATGGATGGAGAGGTTTAAGTGTAGTTCATATGGGAGATCAAGATGTTCCAAACTGTTTATTTTTTATTGATAAATATTCACAAGTGCCATGGATTGTTGCTCCAATTGTAAAGACAACTACACGTATTATTAAAGATAATAATAAACGATTAGATAATTTGTTTACACAATATACAAGAGAACAATGGTCTACTTTAATTTATCGTGACTTTTTCCAACATGGATTTGATGGAAGTGGGTCAGATGGAGGAAGTTGTATTGATGGCAGGTTAACTTCTGCATGGAATTGGTGTTCAATGATTGAGAGGTATATTTTCTATCCATTTTTCCTAGTAACTGACTTTGAAGGATTTGAAGGTCCATACAAAAAGTAATTTTAAGGAGTTTTTCTTTTTTTTGATTTTTAGATTCTTATTATATCTAAAAAAATCTTGATTTTCGTTCTTTTTTACTATTTTTAGATTATTTGAGATTTTTTTCGTTAAAAAAAATAAAAAGAAAACTAAAAAATAAGAATATCATGACGAGCTATAAAATTAATCTAAAACTTATTGATGAAAGTTGTAGTTTTTGGGAAAAACAAATGAAGTTTGCAAAATCAGTTGATGGAGAAATTGAAAAAATAAGTGTCTTAATGATAAATTATGGGAATTATATTGAAAGTTTTGTTACACAAATTAATCCAAAACCAATTCACATAGGTTTGTCAATATTTTAATATTATTAAAAATTTAATAATGAACCGTAGATATCCATTCTCTTTCTACAATTTTGAATGGATTTAGATCAGTTTGTGATACATTTTTAATGTTACAAAAACAATTTCAAGACCTTGTTCTACAACCAACTAAAACTATAAATAACAAAATTGATGAATTAAAAAAACCAATTAAAGAAGCAAAAAAGAATGAAGTTAATGAAATTGCAGCATTCCAATTTCATAAAATTCATGAATATTTAAAAGTTCAAACACCATTATTTTTTGTTGACTATTTTAGAGTATTTGTTTCACATTATGAATTAGGAAAGAAATATATTCCAGATTTAAATGTATATCAAAATATGTATAATAATGCAGTACTTGTTTGTTTATTTTAAATTTGATATTATTAGATATAATATAAAATTCATTTATTAGAACTCTCAATTAGAAGAACCATCTTTAGATAAAACAATTATTTATAGTCAACCATTAATATCAATATTAACTGCTGAAGGAAGAACAGTGAATCAATTACCAAGAGCAATTGAAGAAATATTTAAAATATTATACACAAAAGGATGTTATACAAAAGGAATATTTAGAGAAAATAGTCTTGCTAGTAAAGATACTATTGATAAATTAGTCATATCTATTAGCTTTACTTCTTTCGAACAATACCCACCTGAAGTAACAGCTGCTGTTTTAAAATCATTTATGAGAGGAATGATAGAACCAGTTGTTGATATTAATACTGCATTTACATTAATAGAAACATGGAAAAATGTTTCAGAGTCAACATATGGTCTGAAAGATAAAATATCAGGTGCAACAGCACTTATCCAATCTCTTCCTCCTTCTCACTTTACAATGTTCTCACAATTTATAAAGCTTTGTTACAAAATTCATACATATAGTGATATCAACTTAATGAACGCAAAAAATTTAGCTGTATGCATTGCTCCAGTAATTATTCATATTCCAAATGAAACTTTGGAATCAACTACATTATCTATTTCTTTTATTACATTTGTAATAGAAAATTATCCTTCTATTTTCCCTGATGATGTAGATAAAAATTTATATAGAAGAACATTGAGTCAAAATGTACTTCAAATAAAACAAAAAGTGGTAGAACACTCTGAAATTATTTCTCCTCAAAAACAAACTTTCTTATCTCCTAAGAAAATAATACCTCCTAAAGACATACTAAATCATCAAAGGAAAATATCATCTTCTTGTCCTAACTCTCCACGTTCAATTGGTTTAATGAGAGGTCTACAAAAAGAAATGTCCCAAACACAACAAACAATGTCTACACTAGGTAAAATAATTGAAGACAATAAAATGTCTCAAACTAAATTATCTTCTCCATACAATATATCACCAAATGAAACTTATCAAAAATTAAAACCATCACATTCACAAACTTCTATTAACGAAATGGAAAAACAACAAAATTCATATTATAAAGAAGATGAATATAAAAAATGTCATCCACTAAAACCATCAGTACCATCTTCTGTTGCAATGTTAGCAAAAAAATATTCATCAAAAACAAATAATTTTAATTAAATCTTGTTTTTATAAATTTTTAATAAAATAAAATAATTAAAGAATTGAATGAAAAGTAAATAAGAATTATATCATTCTTATAATCCACTTATTTAGCTTTGGCTTGAATATCAGCAAGAAGAGCACCTCTATTGTTTTCTTGAACTTTAGCATCAGCAGCAATAACTGGTGCTGATCTATCATTACTTTCAACCTTCTTTAATTCTTTACCTTCTTTAATTCCACTAAGAAGTTCATTTCTATCACCTTTCTTAATTTCTACATTTTCAATAACTGGTGCACTCTTGTCAACAGTTTCAGCATGTTTGAGTTTTGCATCAGAAATTCCAGCAAGTACTTTAGCGTCCATTCTGTAAGAAACCAAGAAACTGGAATATTAAATATCACTAAGAATATTCGTAAGTTCTTAACATTTGTTCTAATTTTATTTTTATCCCTTCTTTCACCTCTTCTTCATTTCTAGATGTAGAGTTAGAACTCCTTTTTTCCTGGGAACAACTTCGTTTATGGTTTCTTTTCTCCAGATAATTCCCAGTATAACTATGAATCATTATTATAATATTAGTTTTGTGGTTTGTTTTTACTATTAATTTAAATTCTTAATTTATGGATAAAAATATAACTCTAGATTCACCTCTCATTTGTTTATAAAATATCCTTTCTAAAGTTAGTTCGTAACGCATTCGTGGCAGTGAATTGTCATCTTCAATTTTTGAAATAATGTTTTATCACAATTGTTTTTTTTTCCTTTTTATTTTCAAATAAAAGTTAATAAAATGTCATTCAAATTATTTTAAAATAATGTAATAAGAAAAAAATTGTAAATGAGAATATTTTTGAATAAAATAAAATTTAGTAAAATAATATGAATAATTATAATAAATTTCTATTAATAATAATTTAAACAAAATTGATGAATAATAGAAGGAATGAAATATGTAAAATATAAAAAGAATCATAAATAGAATAATTATAATAAAAAATAATATTATAATAATAAAATAAACATGAATTAAAAATTAATAACAAATAAACTAAAAAAATAGAATAAATGAAAGGGTTTTCAAAAAACAGAGAAAAAAGACTGAGATTGACACAGAGATGACTTCAAAGAGAAGAAACAACGGAAGATCAAAGAAAGGAAGAGGACATACCCAAAATGTCAGATGCAGCCATTGTGGAAGATGTGTTCCAAAAGATAAGGCCATTAAGAGATATCAAATTAAAAATATTGTAGAAGCCGCTGCTGTCCGTGATATTTCTGATAATTCAGCTCTCAATAAGTACAAATTACCAAAGACTTATATGAAATTAGAATATTGTGTTTCATGTGGTATTCATGGAAGAGTAGTTAGAGTCAGATCTAGAACAGATAGAAGAAATAGACTTCCACCAAAGAGAGTTGTTAAGAAGACTAATAAGCAACAAGCAGTCAAACCATCTACTGAAGCTGTTAAAGTTGAAGTTCCAGCTGATGTAGTTACTGCACCAAAAGTTGCTAGCCAAAAAGAAAGACCATTTAAATTCTTACAATAAATTAAGTCTGATCTGTTGTGTGGAATTTTATTTTATTTATTTAATAAATTTTTATAAAACTGTATTTAAGAGAATAAAATAATATTAAATAAAACTAAAGAAAGTAAATAAAAAAGGAAGAAAGTGATGATTTGGAAGAACGTAACCATTAAATTCATCTTATTAACAAATAAAGAAATTAGTTAAATAATGCAAAGTTATAATGGTATGGAATACCCATTTCTTGGTACAAGTCATTTTTATCCACCTTTTTCAATGCAAGGATTTGCTCAATTAAGTCAAGGACAATTTTCTTCATATGTTTTTCAAGATGTTAGTTTCCCAAACAGTTATTTCATTGATGTTTATCAAAATAATTTACAAGAAGAAATGATGAATATTAGTCGTTTAATTGATGATTTCCCATATGTATCTATGGACACAGAATTTCCAGGATTTTCAAGTAGAACATCTTGTAATATGCAAGACTCAACTGAACCTGAAGAACATTATTCATTTTTAAAAGGAAATGTAGATGAATTAAAAATAATTCAAGTTGGTATTACTTTACAAAATAAACATGGGGAATATCCAGAAAGTGTTAGAACATGGCAATTTAATTTTAAATTTGATCCTGATAAAGATGAATGTTCTGCTGATTCAATTCAATTATTACAAAAAGCAGGTATTAATTTTTCATATTTTAAAAATGCAGGAATTACTGAAGAAGATTTTGGAGAAACAATTATGACTTCAGGATTAGTTTTAAATGAAAACACCCATTGGTTAACATTTCATAGTGGATATGATTTTGGTTATTTATTGAGATTATTAACATGTGAAAAATTACCTTCTTCTGTTGACGATTTCTTTACAAAATTACGTATTTTCTTTCCTAATATTATTGACCTTAAACATGTTACCAATCAAATTAGTCAAACTTATCATGGTAGTTTACAAGCAATTGCTTCTAGTTTAGGAGTTCAAAGAATTGGTACAATGCATCAAGCTGGATCAGATAGTTTAATTACTGGTGGTCTTTATTTTAAATTAAAAGAAAAACATCTTGATTTTGATGATGAAAGATTTAATGGAATTTTATTTGGATTAAATGATGAATGAGTTTATTTGTGTTATATATTCCTTTATTTTTAAGTTAATCAAAAATAGTTTTTAAAAGAATTTATTCAAAAAGAAAAGAAAAATGATTAATTGGATTGAATGAGAAAAAAGAAATGATGATGATTTTTTTTAATAAGAACTATAAAAAGAACTATAAATTAATAAAAATAAATAATGGATACTCTTGAGCAATACGTTTTAGAACCAACTGAAGAATTTGTTTTAGATAGTAAACGATTCATTACCAAATGTAATAAACCAGACCGTAAAGAATATAATAAAACAATTTATGTTGTTTTAATTGGATTTGCTATTCTTGGATTTTTTGGATATTTTATTAAATTAGTCCATATACCAATTACTGGTCTTTTGATGTCATCAGAATAACATAATAATCCTTCGTATAATTGAAGAAATTAATCATCTAAAATTTATTTATTCTTTTTTTTTGTTTTTAATAAATTTTGAATCAGTCGAACATATTTTAGAAATAATTAAAAAAAGAAAAAAAATTTAAATTAAAAATACTTGTTGATACATAAACTATTATTTCTTTTCTTCATCTTCAATTTGATTTGGTTTCATTTCATATATTGGAGTTCCTTGACGTTTTTTTGGAACATAAGGTTTTGTTATAAGAATATATTGACAGCCAATAACAGGATTTAATACCTAAAAAATTAATTTATAAAATGAATTCCTCTTTTAAACAAATAAAAAAAACAAACAAAGCTAAGAACTAATACAAATTCTAATATCATTGGAATTATAAATGGAATATATTTACAATTAATAGAAATATTTTTATTTTTAAAAGATGATGAAATTATATTGGTACAATAGTTATACCCTCGTTTTACTTCATATATTTGCCAACATATTATCGCAATAAACAAAATTGCTGTTATACCTCCAAATATGAATAACTATTTATTACTTCTTTTTTTTGTTATTAAGATATTATTACTTTAAGTAATGAAACAAACACCAAATGAATATGACGCCCTTCGAAAAACTAACCCTGCAATAACTATTGAAATAACTACTCCTAAAGAGAGACATAATGTCAAATATACTAAATATGAAATTGCTGGTTCAAATCCACATTGAAACGTATGACTGTTATTACTTACTAAATCTAATTAATTTTTATTTACTTGATTTTAATGAAATAATACAAACCAATTGTAAATTGAAAAGTTTTAAATCCATCCATATTACTATGACCACACGCCTTTGTTTTTTCTGGACCCCCTAAAATCTATTTTATAAGTAACCAAAACATAAATTGTTTAATCACAAAACAAACATTGATTTTTGATACATCATCATATTGATCATTTGTCATTACAAATGTATAAAATATAATACATACTATTATTACTAACGCAATAAAGATATAAAACCCAATTGTAAATAATGTACAACACCCTTGTTTAATATTCATTAATATCAAATCAGTTAAATAATAATACAAGTTCTACTCTTAAATGATTAAAACTGGTCCATCAATATAAAACTAAAAAAAGAGAATTTTTAATGAAGAAATTTAAAAAGGAAAAAATTAAAAAGAAGTTTTTTTCTTTATTTTATTGTTTTAATAATATATTTGATTTTAGAAAAATTTGTTAAATAATATTGTCTTTTTTATTTTATTATAGGAAATTGTTCTTTTTTGTTTTTTAATATTTCTATTAAAATAACTTATTTTGATAGTATTATTAATTTTTCTTAAATAAATTCCCCTTTTTCTGAATTAAGGAATAAAAAGTATTATTATTTATTTATTGAAAAATGCATTGAATTATCTTATTATTTTGTTGTGAAGTTATTATGATAATAAATAAGAATAAAAAAATTATAGTAATTAATTTCTTAAATATATTATAGTGTTTTAACCAAGGTATCTCAGATGTTAAACCAGAATTTTTTTTCTATTTAATAAGACTGAGAGTTGTAATTAATATAATCAACTAATTATAATAAATGAATAACTAATTAAAACGAGATAAATAAAATTTGTAAATTGTTACCAAGACTTAAAATATTAAATTACAACACATCAGTAGTAAGTAATATTTTAAAGAATAGTGAGTGGAAGAAAAAAAATCTTGTCTTTTTCTTAGAATTCTAATTGATTTGTCTTTATTTTATTAATAAAAATTGTATTACTTCGTTATTTTGATAAGAATAAAATTTCAAAATAATACTAAAATAGGATTTCAATAAAAATAAATCTAAATCAAAAAGAAAATAACTTTTTTATTTTTTATTTTGTTTCTATATTTAATAGGAATGACACGAAAAAAAACATTGATAAGATTCAATTTAAAGAGTACTATATTGTATTGATAGTATAATTTTTTATAATTGAGAAAAAAGAAATAGAAAGTTATAAAATTAATGAATATTTTTCATTGAGAGACTAAAAAATCTCTTGATAAGACATCTTTTAAAACAGAAAAAAAAAGTATTTAAAAATATCTTTTTTACAAAATAATATGTGATTATTTATTTTTTTAACTTTTAAATATTTTATATAACTTTTCCAACAAAAACAAATTGAATTGAATAGTTTTTTATTTCCGTTATTCTGAATAGTTCAATTTAGTTACTCTGATAAAGAAACTTGTAAATAGGATGAAGGACATTCTTTTGTTTGAATACCACTTGACCCATTATTATGAATCATTTCTAATGTGGATTCATCACAAAGGATATGGTCATCTAAAGCAAGGTCTTTTGGAGTAAGTATAATATCACTAACAGAATGAACATTTTTCCATTTATTAACGAATTCTTCAATGTCATTAGTCCAATTAATTTTTTGAATTGATTGTTGAATTTTAAGACAATACCTACTTGTATTTTTTAGTATTTCTATATCAAGATCATTTCCCAAAGTAAACATATTAATTAATAATTCATTCCATTCTGATGCAATACTTTCAATTTGTTTTAACATACATTTCATTTCTTTACCATAAACATTTTCTCTAATTTTATTAGTAATTGTAACACAATTCTTTAGATTAATATTACATTTTTTAATGTCTTCAACTACTTGGTCTTGTTTACAATTCATCTTTTGATAAGTCTTTCCACTCTTTCCTTTTTTTTCTTCTTTAAGCTTTTTTAATTGATTTAATGCTTTTTGTTTGTTTTCTTTAATTCTTTCAACGGTACTAACCATGTCATTATGTTGTTTAATTCTTCTATTAATTTCATTAGTAATTCCATTCATTTTAGTTTCTAATTGTTGAGCACTAGTTTTAGTAGCTTGGACAATATTCTTTTCTATAAATTGTGCAGCATTTAAATGACACTCTGCCATAATTTTATTTTGAGAAATGAATTTGTCAATAAATTCTTTCATAGTTCTAAATATTGGTTAATGAATGAAACAAATTATTTAGAGACACTTGTTTATTATTTTAAAATAACTTAATAAAAATAATAAACAAACGAAGACATATTATCTTTTGGATTATAACGTTGAAACACTCTTTTTAGAGGTACCTTAGTTAAGTTTAATAATCTAGATCCATATTCTGTTTCAATAGATGCTTTTTCTGTAAAAAATGAAATGAGTCCAGCAGTTAGAGAAGAAAATGAATTTAAATAAGTGTTAATAGCAGGAAATTCAAACTACTACGTAAATCTTTTAGAATTAAATCAATACAAAGAATCAAACAACCAAATCTTGCATTGTAATATTAAATAAAAAGATTTCTTTTTATAAATTGAAGAGAAGGTTGATAGTAATTTTTACTACCGACAGGCTATTTCTTTCTTTTTTTTTGAATTTTCTATTTTTACTTTTTTGATTTTATACTGTTCTTATTCTATTTATTTCCATTTTTCTTTTATGCTTTATTTTTTTATTATTAACAAGATCATCAAATTTTTATTTAGAAACATTGGATGTTTTTATGGTTTTTATTCTTTTTTTTTATAAACAAGATTGTTATGTTTTAGTTTTAATCACTAACCCATTTTCCTATTTCTACTTCTTCCTGTATTTCACTTCTTTAAATAAAACTTTTATGTATCAAAAACAAGATTACATACACCAAATAATTATTGTGTTATTTTTTAATATTTTTTTTAAATTATCTGTCTAATAACGTTCTTCACTCTTTGTTTTAGTAATACAAACAATACAATTCGTTCATTGTTTGTTATTCATTACAATTTAAAAGATTTTAACATTTAGAAGCTTGTTATACACTTTTATTCTTTTGAATACGTTTTTTCTTTCTTAAGAATACTCTTAATTATCTTCTTCTTTCCAACATTTTCAATTAATTAGTGTTTTTTTATTTGATTAACTTTATTCTTGATAGTTTTTTATATTCAATTCTTATTCTTCATTACTTTTCATTTTTTTTTCATTCTTATTATTATTAAATCATCAAGGTTCCAAGTGGCATGTCAGAGACACACAGAATCCTAATATGTCCGAGTTTCGAGTCTTTAGTTATCTTCTGGTTATAACATGCCTTTAGTTAAATAACGAACCACTCAAGGCTTGTTGGTTATTATTTATTTGAGTGACTATGACGGTAGTATTATTATTTATCAACGTGTAAGTATATTTATCAATGATAGTTTTGAGCTGGATACGTGGTGGGTTATTAAGAAAAATGGATTCTTTAAGGGGTGTTGAGGGTAAAGAAGATGAGCCATAGTCATAGTGTTATGGATATCTTCTTCTTATAATAACATTATAAACAACGACGAGTTTTAATACTCATTAAATTCAAATTAAAAATTAGAAAGCAACTTAAATGATGAACTATTTAGTCGAACACGTTTGAAAAAAAAAACATTATTTCAAACAAAATAAAGCATGAAGAAACTAAGTCATTTATTTCTCAACATAATGAAAACCTAATCATAGGTAATTGATTTCTTTTATTTATAATTATTAAAGTTAGGTTGTAATATTAATTTCATTTATAAATGATGTATTTATCTTAAATACTATAATTTATTTACAGATATTCAGAAAATGAAGCAGGATCTAGAAATTAGATTGTATACTATTTTTATAATATTAGTTTTGAAAATAGTTAAGAACGAATTAAGTTTGATCTTTTTATTATTATAATTAATTATTATAAAATAATAAATTATTTTTATTTCTATTATTGTTTTATTTTAATTAAATTCTCTTAATTAATATTATTACAATACGTTACATTCATTAAATTATCTTTCTTCTCACTGCTCATTATTTTCAATTTTATCATCAATCTGTTTATTACTTTTATCTTTATTAACAAATGTATTATCATTTTCTATTAATTAATTAATAATTGAAATAGATTTCATTTATATTATCATTGTATTTCTTATTCTACGCTTTTCTATTCTTAAGAAAGAAGTAGAATTAATTAATGAGTCATACCTTCATTAGTATTAATTGTATCTGAATACCACTTCAACCTTTCTTAACATCACCATTTTAATTGTGATATTTAAAACACATTTATTTTAAATTAATTAGAGTTATACCAATATGATAATATATTGAATTGTATGAATAATTGATATTAATATTTAAATACACCATTACAACTACTTTTAGTTGTGATAAAAATACAAATAACCTTTCAAGTTAATAACAATATCATTTGAATTGATAACATTAATTTGAATAAATAACTATTATTCAAATTAAAACAGAAAATGAAATAGAAATAAAATAATTAATATCAAATAATAAAAAAGACTGGATTGAATATATTTAACTTTATTTAATAAATTAATGATAAGTTCTCATAAAATAATTAGCAGTAATAATATCAAATATCCAATTGATAAATGATAAACTAATATATTTTTAATGGTTTAAAATATTTAAAACACATTTAAATATGGTTTATTTAAAAACATCATAACTGATAATGAAATGTTTATTATTAAAATTAAAATTCAATTTTATGTTGAAGTAGTTATGAGAAAAAAAAAGACCGTCAAGAACTGTAACATGAATTATTGAATAATATTAGAAATGAATCAATTCGTTATTGAAATTCATAGATATTATTTTTCGTTAAAGTAAGTTTAAAATAGTATTAAATAAATAGTTAAAACAAATAGTTAAAGTATTAAACATATAAAATTTGTCTACCATCTTATTTTTTGTTCAACTTCATTTTTTAGTTAGATGTAATTTTGCGTCACTTCATATTATTTGTTATATCTTTTGAAACGAAAAAGGCACAAACAGAAAAAGAAATCAATGTTATAATTTACCTAATATTAGGTTTTTCAACATGTAGAAAAGTGAGCAAATCATTTTCTTAAACATGCTTTATTTCTATTTATATAACGTTTTTTCAAACTTGTTGACTTAAAATGAAAAAGGTACAAATAATTAAAAAAAAAAAAGAAATTTTTAAGGGTTAATAATGTGTTAATGACGTCAAATCTTTTTAAAAAATTTTAGTTTGAAAAAGGATGGATACTAACACAAAAAAATGTTTTGATTTTATCTTTAAAATTATCATCTCATCTATTGAGTGTAAGAATAAAGAAGCTCTTATTGACTTAGTCAAGTCCTCAGTAGAAAACGATATTAATGTTTCACAATTACTAGAAAATAACAAATTTTTATTCAACAAACCTGAACAAAAAAGTTATAGTATTGATGATGATTTTTATGGTTATGTGACTTGGATTAATTGTTTAACGAACGAAAATTTTATAGAAACTGTTATTCAAAATTTCAATGATAATCAATTTATTCAAATGATAAAAGAAATGATAGAAAAAGATCTACTAGAACCTGACAAGAAGAAACTTGCAGAACAGCTTATTTATAAGGAAAATTCCAATTATCATTTTATTAACTCTTCACTAAATTCTCAGTTAAAAAATGAAATAAATACAGCAGATTATTTAGATTTTAAAAATAGTATAGAAGAAGAGTTTATGAAGAATAGTTTAGTTGAAGATATGACAGAATCCAATTTAAAATCAAGTAGGCAACTAGTAAATACACAATTGTATGACTCAATGTTAAATGATTATATAAATGAGAAAGTTAATAAACACATAGAAATGATTAAAAACAATATTCATTGTGATGAACTATCTCTATCATTCGATAGTGAACAATTAGTTCAGAAAGAATTGGATAAAGTTATTCTTCCTCAAGTTGAACAACAAACAGTTGTTATGCTAATTAGTGATGAAGGAAAAATAGTTTCTATTTATTCAAAAAAACCTAATATATCCGTTTTATACCCTCCGAAAAATAATACAATGTTACTTTTTAATGAAAATGGTAAACAGAAAGAATGTAAAAAAAGTTCGTTCCTTTTTATCAATAATAACCAAATTAATTTTTATGATGGGTTATTGAATTCTTTTATTGAATTAAATGATGGAACAATTGATACTGAATTTAAAGGTGAGATTTTAGATTTTATTGGAGTAAAAAAATGGAAAACTGTACGAGTTGTAGTTTATAATAAGTCTCCTAAAAGTGGCAGTGATAATACTACTGATAATACTGCTGATAATGCATCTATACATTTAACTTCAAATACTAAAACATTAAAAGACGTTCTTGAAAAGGAGTTGAAACTAACTAATACTAAGTATGATTACAATGAAATTAAAGGGCTACATGACATTAAATCAACAGAGGTAATTGAAATTTATGTTCAAGTTGAAAATAACATTAACATCATTGGGCTTCTTGCTAATAAAAAAACAGTATGCTTCTTTGAATATGAAATTGACAAATTAAATTCTCAAAGATACACAAGGAAGCCTATACGTTATTTCCAAAAATCATCATATAATAATTTTTCAATAACTCCTCCTGACCCAGTTATATCATTCGACACACCAGGATTTATTTTGACTACTCCACTTTTTTCAATATCTGATCAGTTAACCATCACTAAATATCCATTCAATTTGAAACTTTATTCTCCAACCTTTGAAACTAATTCCTTTTTCATTAGTGGTCCAACTTCTCAAAGGGTAAAAGAAATAGCTTATCGTTTTACAGAAGTATGAGAAAGTTTATTTGTTTCATGCTAGAGAACAGAAATTGATTTTTTCAAAAAAAAAATATACACTATTTTTAATGTTTTATGAAAATTGTATTTAATGAAGTTGTGAAGTAAAGAAACAACTAACTTTTTTTTTAAATACAATGAGTTTTACAAATAAAACTCAATAATAGTTATTTATTTGCTTATTATAAAATTCTTTATTTCTTTTAAAGTAGTAAAAGAGTATTATAGGAATAAATATAACTAAAAATGAAAGAAAGTAATTTTTCAAATACTATGAAAATTGAAGATAATATAAGTACATATTAAATAAACTTAAAATAATTAAAGGAAATAAAAAGGTTGTTGTATATGTTTTAATATAAAAATCAATTAATGATTCAAAAAAGAACACAATGAGATAAATTTACAGGAAGAAAATGACTATATTAATTAATGACATTTACTTAGTTATTTGTATTTTCTTTGTTTTGAGAAATTAAAATATTAATACTATTGTTAGATTCTTCTCATTGTCTTTATTACAACAGGTATTTTGTTTATACGTTATTTGTAATACCATTATTATTGTTATTATATCTGTATCATTTTCTATTTCTTTTAATTTTTATTGATAAAATATAATTAAATCAATCATTATTTATCAGAGTTTGAATTATTTCTATTTTATCTCATATTTATATTTCTTATTTTATAATATTTTGTATTTATTTAATTTGTGTAAATGAATTATTATATATTTTCATTTTACATATCAATTACGTCATTAACATTTTTTTATTTTGTTTATCATTTTCAATATATTATTTCATATTATCAATTTAATATATATGTTAATATATATTTGTTATAATTAAATATAATTGAATAATCTGTTAATATTATATAATGAAGTGAATATTATAAATTTACATTTTCTATTTCTTTATGATATTTGGTTGTTATAGATTTAAATATTTCTTCATTTCCATATGTATTTATCAATTTGTTTATTCTTTCTAATTCTATATATTAATAATATATGTGATATATATGTTATATTATTTATATAACATTTACATTATTATGTATTTTCATTATGTGTTATATCTATTTTTTTTTAATTAATTTATTTATTAATTTTTCGTGAACTATTAATAATTGAATATTTCATTCATTTAATGCTTAATGATTTTAATACTTTTAAATTATTATTAAATTATATCCAATTTTTTATACATTGCAAAGTCTAATATTTATATTCATCTATTTATTATGATATTATTCATTTATTTTCTTTATCACTTCTTTTTTATTCTTCTTTTTATTATTTCTTTATTCTCTTTTTTACTTTCTTTAAAAATATTCATTCTTGAAAATCATATTTATTTCTCTTAATTTCTTTACTTCTTGTGTTGTTGTTTTATGAGAATTTTAATTATATTCTAATTAACTCTTTTCTATTTTTATCTATTCAACTCATTAATCATAATCAATAATAATTTTATGATGTGTATAATCTTCTTTTGATAATAATTTAGAATATATAGATTTAGAATAAAATATTTTCCTTATTTATATTCAAATTCACAGAATATCAAGTTCATTATATAGAATCAATATCTAATTCTTGATATATCATCAGTATTTATCATTGTATTATATCAATAATATTTTTGTATTGTTGTTACATTCTTTTTTAATTTAATTGTTTATTCTTCTATTTTATTTTTCTTTATTTAATTTATTCACTTGTTCTATTCCTATTTATATTGTTTATTATTATTATTTTTTATTTGTGTATTATTTCTTATTTCTTCTTGTATATTTTCATCTATCATTATTTATTTTATTATTAATGTTTTAAATATTCTTAATATTATGTTATTTGTAATTATTATATCTTAATTTGATTTTGTAATTATTTTAAATCATCAATATAAAGTAAATGATTTATTTCTATATTTATATTGTTTTGTTGATTATGTATAATTTTTTTGAATTATTCTTATTAATTGTATTGATATACATTCATTAGATAATATGAAATATGAGAAAATACATATTATTAAAGTATTCATTTTTCAATACTTATATAATTAATTATGTTATTGATATTAGATATTAGTTGTATTCTCAATTAATCTTGTAGTTTATATTCTCAATTATATACTCTTGAATGCTCTATTATTTTAATCATTTATTATCTAAAATAATTTAAATGAATTTATATTTTTCTGATATCATTATATATTTCTATCAATTTTAATTCTAATGAGAACTGTGTTTCTTTTGTTTGTTTTATTTTATTTTTCATTAATAGTTATTGTTCAATTTTATTTTTAATAAAAGTAATAAATACTTTTAATATAACTAAAATATATAACATATCTATAATTAGTATGATTTAATTGATATCATTCTTTATTTATTAATATGGTCATTCATTTCATAAATTCATTTCATATATTTAATGATTGTTTAATTAATTTTTTTATTTCTTTTATTCTTTTATTAGTATAAGATATTTTATCAAAAATCATTCAATTAAGTCTATTCCTGGAATTTTACAATTTTTGTTTATGATTATAATTATTTTTTTAACTGTTAATTTACTTATTTTTTTCATTTTTATTCATACATTTGTTATTTCTTCTATTAATTATTCATTTATAATATTTGTTTCTTCTTTTATTTCTTTATAAAATGATTATATTTTATTTTGTTTGAAATTCTATTATTTATTGTTTATGATTTTCTTTTCATAGCTCTCAATATTATTAATTTCTATTTCTTTTCTTATTTTCTTTTTTATCTTCTATTTCAACTTTTTAGTATTAATTAAATATGTTATTATTTCATTTTATATTTTCATTTTAATTATATTATTATTATTCTTTATGTGTAATATTTGTTTAATTTTTTGTATATTATTGATATTTAATAAGTAATTGATTTTATTTATTTTTGATATTATTTTATCAATAAATCTCTTTCTTTTATTAGTACTTTATTCTATCATTTGTTTGATTGGTAATTTAAATGAATAATTATATTTTTTTTTTAATTTCATTTAATGAATTGAGATAAATATTTATGTCTATTTTATTTATCGATCTTTGATTTTGATTAAAATTTATAGATTTTATCTCTTTTCTTTTTATTATCTTTATTATTTCTTTTTCTGTATTATTTTTATTATTTGATATATTTTATTTTATTTATTATTATTTATTTCATTTTCAACTTCATTACATATATCTTTTAATTTCATTATGTAATTCTATTAATATTTATATTTATCAATTATAATTAATATGATAATTATAATTAAATTTATTTGATAATAAATTAAAGTCATCATGATTTATTTGATACTTTATTATTTTATTTATATAATAATTATATAATCAAATTATATATTATTTGTTTGTTTATTTAATATTTCTTCTATTAATAGTTGTGAATTCATTTTATTTTGTGTTACCATTAGTTTCCTGTATTACTATCATTGATTCTATATTGTTCATGTTCAAATTCATCAACTGCGTATTGATTTGATCTTGTTGGTTCATACTTAATATTTCTCGTTATTTTATTTTTTGTTGTTTTTTCTATCAGTGTTTAAATGTTTATGTATTATTTTGTGTTTTAATTATTTTTGATATTATATTGTTGAATTTTATGAATAATTAATCTAATTTCTTCTTGTGTCTTTATATAAGAAAGAATAATAAAGAATATAAAATAATAAATTGTTTTATCTTCTTTTATTTATATTATTGTTATTTATTCTTATTTTGTTATAAACATACTCATTCATTAGTAGATGATATGAAATGGTTGTTCATATTCATTTATTGATTTTTTATATTCTTTTTTACTTTTTATATTCCATTTAAACAATATTTAATATTTTCATTTTATTTCAACTACAATGAATCTTTCTGG